GGTGGTGCTGTGGGGAGGGTCTTGCAGAGGCCCTGGGGAGCTGCTAGGGGCTGCAGGGGGAGGGGTTTGGGGGAGAGGCTTGGGGTGGGGGCTGCAGGGAAGGCAGGATGGTTAAATAATGATGCTGATGCAGAGGGAGCTAAAGCAGTTTCATGGAAATAGAGAGGACTGTGACGATGCAGAATTTCTGTATGATTAGGCAGGCTCTCTGCTTGCCAGTTTGCCTGGGATGGTGTGTCCTCATTAGTATTCATGGAATTCTTGGCATTGTAGATCACAGTGGACCACTGCAGCAGCCTGACTGGCCAGGTGTTTTGTGTTGTGTTTTTGGTTAGCCTGGGACCTGTCAGCAGCAGCAAACACCAAGCTAATTTTCTCAAAAACATGCCAGTCTTTGGAGGTGGGGGAGAAGTTGTTCCAGGGAGGTCTGCTAAGCATCTTAATTGATGGTTGCACTCAGCACACACATGCAGCACATTTCTATCCTTACAAAAGGGAGAGAAGGGGGGCTGGAGAGATGGCTCAGTGGTTAAGAGCACTGGCTGCTCTTCCAGAGGACCTGAGTTCCAGTCCCACCACCCACATGGCAACTGGGAATCTATAATTCCAGGTCTAGTGAATCTGACACCTTCTTCCGGCCTCCATGAGTACTAGGCACATAAGTGGCACACAGATATATTTGCAGGCAAGACACCCACAACCTAAAATGAAAATAATGACTGAGGGGTGAAAAGAGGCATGAAAGAGAGCTCCTCAACAGGAATCCTGTAGGAGAGCACACTCACCCTGGATAAAGAGTGTGCTCAGCGGACACAGGAATTGACAACCTGAGGTAGATCCCAAACCCCCAAAAATGTGGAACGAGAAAGTCCCACATACATCATGCACATATGTACATTTTTTTTAAAGTTCAGGAATCCGCAGAAACCAAAAATGGAAGTAAAAATCTACCAGAAAGTATAAATAAGAGGGTTACCATTACGTCATGTGCCAAAGCATTTTTAAAAATCAAAAGCATGGAACTGTAATTTTAATTTAAAAATGAAAACACATTTACAAGGAGGAGAAAGGGAAATGTAGTAACATTGCAGAGGCAGATGGAAGCATCGAGACTAACTGCTGTCTTGCCTGAGAAAATATTCTCTGTAAAGCAGGTGGGAATAGCAAGAGAAATCAAAAGAATTTACTTCTTAAAGACTTGCACAGTCTTCCTCCAGCCCTGAAGCAGTGTTCAGTATCTCACTCACACGTTTTCCATTGCTAAGCTGAAAATGCACACTGGAAGACTGCCCAACACTTACAAAAGGAAAATGTCTTCTAACTTACCTCCAAGACTTCTAATTTAGAGGTAGATGACATCCCAATTCCTGGAGGCCTTTTTCTGTTCAAGCATTTTAGTAGTGGATCTTCAAAAACTTCACATTGGATTTGCAAGCCCTACCAAATTAAACATTAAACAGCCAAAAGACGTTAAAAAAATAAACAACAGAAAAAGTCAGATCGGGTCCTAAAGCCAGGCTGCTGGCAACAAAGTATCTTGGAACATTTGAGACTACTTAAACAGTTCAGAACACTCAAAATGAAAGTAAGCATCCTGCTAGGACCTAGTTAGGCCATGTTTGATGTTGCAACGTTGATTTTCTATCATGCACTTTGAGTTAACACAGAGATACAACTTAATACAGTAAGCATGGCTTCTCCCATTTGGGTCCCGAAATCAGAAGAAATTCAGCACACTAGCTACTTGGTTTGAATTAATGGCAATGGATATATGGGATATTAGGAGACTGAGTTATTCTTTGACCATTTGCTGCTTACAATTTCCCCGTTTAACTGAATCCATACATTGGCCATGTTTAAAATGAGAGTGTTCTGTAACAGGGCAGGAAGAGAGGAAGGTTTTTGATTGCATAATCTTCAAAGTATTTAATTTGTATTAAAGCTAAATCCAGGGGTGCAGAAACCTCTGGGACTCTAGATGTGGATTTTTGGGCTGGTTCACACACCTTGAGACAAAGGCTTATAGTTAAGATATGGAGGGAAAGGCTGTGTGTGTGTGTGTGTGTGTGTGTGTGTGTGTGTGTGTCCTCGCCCTCGATGCCGGGCAAATTTATTCCCGAGGCAGGCCTGGAATGGGCTTCAGAAAAATGGATAGAGTGTCTTCCTGAAGAAAGGGCCTCTAAGTAAACTCGACTGCCATTCAAAAGATTTGCTCCGACACTTACCAAGTGGCGTGGAAGAAAGGAAAATCTGTTCTCAGGTTTGGGGTGTTTATCAGCTCCCCGTGAGACACTTGACCTGGCGCTGTGCTCCCCCCCACCTAATCCGCTGATCTGCATGCCCGTGGCCTCCCAAGCCTCAGCCCATGAGGCTGGCAAAATTGCCTGGGACACTTATCCCCGCCGCATTGATCCCTCGGTACATTGTGCGCGACTCACCTACTCCCCCTTTCCCTCCCTCCCTCTCCTCTCGCGCGACTCCCCCGAAATTTAATTCTGCTCACAAATTGTGAAATAAGTTGTTTGGGCTGGATTTGCGGAGTGAATTGTCTCATTAATGAAACAGTCTGTTCATTATACAGTTGAAGGAGGGAAGACTTAGCGCTCCCATACCCCGGGACCCAGGCAGGTTAACGTTTTTAGACTGACAGTTGACAAAAGAATGAATAGCCCTCTGCTGTCAAATCAGGCTTACAAACAGCTTGGCATACAAACAGTTACTGCTTGTGTGCGTGCGGATTTAGGGTCTCCGTCTGCTAATGCCCCAGATTTGTAAGTACAAATTGGTTAGTCTTCAAACTGTTTGCGAAAGGAATAAAATGACCAAAAATTAGTTTGTTTTTAGTCTTTCCCCCTCCCCTCCCCGCTCCCGAAAGTGAAACATGAAAAACGGAAAGAAAAGGATAAACTAGCGTGTAATGGTCTCATGTAATATTGTTGGGTTTTTGCTGAAGGCGTTAAATTAAACAGGACCATTGTTTAGCGGGAGGCAGTCTGCTCTGCCCCGCCCCCTGCTTCCCAGAAAGCGGCTGAAAGCGAAGGAGACTCATTGACCATGCGAGATTTTAGCGCTGGAGCAGACAGGGAGATCAAAAACTTCGTTTCCATCCATTTTAATACCTGTTGCTTAAAACTGGAAGCAAGGTCTCCCCCTCACTTATAAATTGCGCTGGCTATCTAAAGTGGCTAATTGAGATTTCTGAAACGTTTCATAGGCAAATATGCATAAATTTGGTAAAATTCACTTTATGTATGTTAATATTTTGTGAGAAAATTGAACTGACACAGAATCATTGAGGGATAACACATTGTGGCAAATAAGGTGACTTTTCCTTTTCTTCCTTTTTTTTTCCTGTGTGATGATATTTTTTAGTCTGGATTAAACAAGTTTTGTATTATTTTATAGAGAAAACCACCAGAGTGCTGATTTAAAATTGTATTCCTTTCAAGGTTGGTCTAAGCCTCCGACTTCAGAGTCTTTTCTTCTTGGTCACACGTGACTCGGGATGGCCAAATCCCGTGTACCACTCGGAGCTGTTTGCCACACACCAGAAAGTTCGTTATCACACCTTACACTGCACCCTAAACACATTCTTTTCAAAACCACAACTCTGGGGAACTCTGCAAGCTGTGTGTGTCCAGCCCTTCCCCTTATCTGTGGCTGGCCCTTGTGCTGGCCAAGAATGATAACTTACAAATGTACAAAGCCGGTGACTATTATTAGCTATTAGAAGTCTGAATAAAACAAAAGCCTTGGACTGTGGGAGAGAAACGGGACGCCCTCATCCCAAATATGAACTGGTTTGTTTTTCTTCAATAAAGCCATCCAAGCCATAGAAAGTGGGACACCTGTTGACCACCACGTCAGAATCAGTGCCAGTTTTTGTTTTTGTTTTTTTCATAAAGTTATCTATAACCACCACCTTCAACCCCCTAAGGAGCCTTCAAATGCATCTGAATGGCAGCTTGTTTTCAACGACTAGGTGGTGTATTCAACACCATGGGTCCTGAGGGGCGGCTCCAACTGGTCTCTCTCAGGTTTCTACCTCTCTCCCACTCCCAGAATTTTACAACCAGCTCCCTGTCACATCATTCCTTTTGCATCGAACCTATGATTTTTTTTCTCCTACTTCATCACAATATCTCTGCATTTCAAAGGCAGAGACAATGGCTTCTGAGGAACTGTGCCCTAAGAAAACGCAGACACTTGGTGAAATGGTTTTGAAAAGGCGGTTTCCTATGGGTTTTTAGGACAGTGAGTGGCTCCCTTCCCAGGGAGGCCTTCAGAAAATGTAAATGTTTGTATCTCCCGGGCTGCTTCTTACAGGCCCCCTGATGACAGAGGCTGCAGGGGTGAGACTAACGGGGACCCACACTTTGGGCAAAGGTTGGAAAGGCACGGGTAAATAAATACCTGAGGCTGCTTACTGTCTTATTCTTAGGAGCAACAGGAGCTGATTGCATGAAAGCATCACCTAAGCAAGCTGGAAACTAAAGCACAGAACCCCCTGCTCTGAAGGGGGAAGCATTGAAAGCACTGAAGAATTAAAAAAAAAAAAAAAAAAAAGCTGTATCTATAGCAGGAAGGGTCCAGCTTGGAGGGCAAGTCTGTACAGAAGAAATCATCTTGACCTGCATGTACTCACTTCCAGGAGGGCATGCCTCAGCCTCTCCACAACTTGAGTTGGTCTCCATGTTTTACAAGTGCCTTCTCTGTCCCATCTATAAAACGGAAACTGTAGCATCTCTTACAGTTCTTGTGATGACTAATCCATTGTAACACAGTGCCTGGTCTCTTGTCCAGGAATCAAATACAAATATGCTTTCTTATAAAAATTAAAATACCTATGTATTTACACATAACACACACACACACACACACACACACACACACACACACACACACACACACTCCTCTATATATGAAAGTTCAACCTCAGATTTAACCAACCTTAGAGTGAAGATATTCAGATATGTCACTGGTACTGAACATATACGCCCGTTTTTGTTGTTATCTCTACACACATCAGCTCTAAAAATGATCTATATAGCATTAAAAGTTACCTAGGCATGACTTAAAGTCTGCAGGAGGGTGTCCGTAGGTGTATACTATGCCATTCTGTACAAGCAACTTGAACACCCATGGATTTGGTATCTGCAGGGATTCCAGAACTACCCCCTTGCAGATGCTGAGGGATGGTGGCTGTGTATATTCTTATGAGGTTTTTGAGCAATCATAACTAGGGGCAACAGGAAAAAGGAAAAAAAAAAACCTTCACATTTCTTGAGGCATCTAAAGGCTCAGTGGAAGACTGATGGCTGTAGCTCAGTGGTGACTTATGAGAAATAAAATATCGGGGCTGGAGAGCTGGCTCGGCAGTCAGACTGCTTATTACAGAGGACCTGAGTTTGGTTCCTAGCACCCAGGATGGCCCTGTAACTCCAGCTCCAGGGGAACCAGACACCTCTGCTCTCCTTGAGCGCCTTCACATTCCCCATATGCAAAGCCAAAAATATTAAGTCTTTTTTAAAAAAGAAAATACACATGATACATACATATACATGTATGTATATCCAGTCTTTCCTCTATACCCAAACCTCAGATCTGACAACTTAGATGAGAAATGTCCATAAGTGTCTACTTTTGCTGAACATGTAGCATCCAAGGCCAGGTCTGAATGTCTGACTCCCTCACTGATAGGGGAAGAAACTGGGGTTCAGATTTACATGGGGTGAAACTTCAGCCTCCGAGCCCGCAGAGGAAGAGTCCTTGTCTTCAGCCCATTTATTTGAAAGGAAATGCTGTGATGCTGTGACCACGTTTGTCATTTGAACGCATAGTTCTGTCTCCACTTGTGTGAAACGAGCCATGTGGGTGAGTTTTGTGCAGAGAGAGCACCTAGGGTTAGTAGCTGTGCCTGTGGGTCTGTACTCGTTGCTTTCAGAAGTATCTGCCATTCTTCCCACTTAGATGCTCAGGTGCTACTGTGTTACACATGAAGTACACTAATGGAAAAAAAAACACTTGTTATTTTAAATCTTTTAAAAATGTAACAGCAAAAACATATCCTCTTTATGAAAATATGTTGAATTGGGAAGATTCCTCCTAACCTGGCCTGAGGGTAGGACGGCAAGGTGGAAGCAGATTGCAGAAACGGTTCTCCCTTCGTGGGGTCTCCAGGAGGCGCTCAGGCCAGAACCCTCTAGGAGTATACTTGTTTCGCCCTTTGCCGGTCTCCTTCTGGGAAGACAGGAGCATTTCATCTGAACCACTTGGAGCAGGAGGGGCCAAAGGGGCTGAGTTACGATGAGACAGGGTTCGGGCTCAGGCCATACCAGCTCATCGCATGGGCTACGTGTGTTTGGTTTGACTCATGACTTCTAAATTTCAGGTATCGTCAGTTTGGCTGAGATTATCATCTAGAGAAAAGGCCACAGAAATAGGAAGTTAGAGTCCATGGGATGGATGGTATAATTTGGCCCAAGAAGTGTCATTAAGATGGGGCCAGGGCATCAGTGCTACATGTGTGAAAGGAAAATGATGTAGGGTTGTAAACAACCAGGATGACATCACACACCACATGAAAATGTCATCATGAATCCTCTTGCCCTGTAGAAGCAATATATGCTGATAAAAAAAAAAAGTTGTAAAAAGCAGCAGGAGAAAAGAATCAAGCAGTTCTTCTAGTTTCCTGTCTGTTACTGTGATAAAATATCCTGACCAAATGTAGCTGAGTGGGGGAAGGGGTTTATTTTGGCTTTCAGCTCCAGGCTGTAGTTCACTATAGAGAGAAAATCAAGGCTGGATTTAAAGCAGCTATTCACACATCCAAGTCAATAACAGAGAGGGGAAATGTGCTTGTGCTACCTGCTTGCTGTATCTAGCTGTCTCCTGTCCTACGTAGTTTAGGACTCCTTGCCTAAAGAATGGTGCCACCCACAGTGGGCTGGGTCTGTCAACATCAGTTAGCAAGCAAGACAGTTCCCTACAGACATGCCCAGAGGCCAACCTGATCCGAGTAATTTACCACTCAGGAGCGCTTCTCAGTGGATTCCAAGTTACGCAAGTTGACATTTACGAATAACCGTCAGAGCAGTCAAAAGGATATGGAGTTGAGGTTTATTTTAACTTCTTACAGGCAGCATGACTTCTCTCATGACTTAGCTTGTGCATGGTTATCTTCATCTGTTAGATGGAGGTGATGATGCCTCCTTCATGAGTTTGAAAGTAGATGAACACATAAAACAACAGGCACAGTTTCAACACAGTGGTTTGTTTCTATGTTAACTGCTGTTCTCGGGGTTGTCTAGCGCTTGACTCTCAGATGCAGTCCTTGTGTGGACCAGTGGCCTCAGCATCCCCTGGTTAGTAACGTTCCAGGTCTCTGCCCCCACTCCCTGGACCAGGGTAGCCAGAATTTGCATTTTAGTACTGTCTCCTGATGACTCATGTACCCATTGAAGTCTGAGCAACACTGGCTTCCAACACACTGTTTGGGAC